TGGGAATGCGCCATGCATTAGAATTTAAGTTGAAAATTCAGCGACAGTCAAGTTTGACTCTACAGTAACAAGCAAGGGTAATGAAGTCTTTTCCCACAAATTTTGTGTCAAGTCGAATGAATTTAAGGCTCAGCTCTCCTTTTTGGGGATCCGCGGGTTGTGCGGCTCCCCAGGTGAAGATCGTCTCTAATCATCTACCAGATTCAATTAATTGAAATCGTAGTTGTATAGCAGTTCCGCGGCTACGGCAACTAAGGGAGGAAAGGAGGAGGTACAGCTCTGAACCGAGGAAAATCGCGATAAGTCAACAACTGCAAAAATTTCCGCGCTGCTAGGAAGAATTTCCCCTAAGACCGGTCACGATCCCTTCGATCAAAGAAGACCCGCTTCCTCTCGACTCAGTACGAGCCTCGATGGAATTTCTCAGTGATTCTGTGCTTTTTGCGTGTGACTGATAGATGACATTTTTGACAAGTCCGCTATCAGCACCCGGGTTTACTTGATAATACGGAGTTTGGTCTGTGTGATTACTGATATTCGACGCTGTTCGGCATGGGGTGGCTTCTTGCATCGCTGTTGGTTCCTTTTGCTGGTTCATTTCAGCTAAATTGTACACCCTTGTGAAGCTGCGAAGCGATACAGGGCCTTTTCGGTTACAGGAGATGACAAGTCTTCACAAAGTAACCTGTAAAAGCTCTGCCCTGTACCGTTCGGTGCCCTCACCAACCCGAACTGTCCCTTGGTGTTCTGTAGTGATCCAGTTTTATTAAAAATGCTCGGTGTTGGAGTGGACTCAAGTTTTGTTCATTAAATTCGGAAAGGTAGAGGTCTATAGATTACCGGGGCATATCTGGGTCCGTTGTTCGGCCTCATTCCTACGAAGGAGTATCATTGACTAGTATTACTCGGTAATATATTTGATTCTTTGATATTTAGCAACCTGTCAATAACAACAATTACTCAGCAACACGGCGGCGCTCAGACTTCACGTCAACGAGCGTCATTGCAAAGCCTGAACTGTGACTTATTGTTGGGCGGGCTAATTCGTCACATGCAAAATAGCCGAGTAGAATTAAATTCATGGTTTATGTGGAGTGGTGCCCGATAGAAGGCAGTAGGAGTGACAGGTTGAGCGGAAATCCGAGTCGCGAGCATATAGTGGCGAATGAGCAAAATTTTTTTCGGGGTTTCCGGGCTTAAGATCGCTTTTTCGACTTTAATATGTTAGGCGGTGGACGTTCTAGCAAGTGAATAGGTTTACCTCTGATCAACTGGAGGGCCGCGGGCGTACGTGTGCAACCCCAGTGAGTGGGGGGGCAGCTTGGCCGCTTGTAGGAAAATTTTTTGGGGCTTGTTTGTAGACTTTTTTCTGGTTTATTCCTGTTTGCAGCTGTAATTGGTGGCATTACTCCGGCGCGCTTCGCGGCGCCTGATAAAAATCATTAATAAAGATAAACTGAGAAAAAAGGGATAAGAAGTTGGGAGAATTCAGGAAGATGCTAGTAGAAGCTGGGATGAGAAGGGGGGAGGTAGCCATAGGAGGAAGTTTTGTGTGGGGGAGGTCGTATTTCCAAAATTTCTCCCCAACGTGCCTTGGTACCAATACAGAGAGCATATTGAAGATATTTGAACGGAATAATGGATAAAGCGCTCCACCGCTAATGACAGAATCGCTTGAGTCCCACAGCTGAATCGCCGCTCTCGCGAACTATAAACGTTGCTTGGTCTCGGCAATAGAAATGATAATTTTATGAATAAAAACAATACTAGCAGTACTAGTACACTTTGGACTGTTATGACAGAAGCGTGCCATAGGAAGTAGTTACTTTGTGGTTGTGTTCTGTTTCCTTGGCTTTCGTTTTCGGGAGTGCTTTTAGTATGCTTTTAGTTTTTTCGTGGCTTTGGCCTTAGTTTCTGCACGCCAAAGTAGAGTCAGCTTTCTTCTCAAACTTGTGTCAAAGAGTATGTCTCAGGTGTGAACGGAACCAGGACGAGAACTTCCTGAATCGAGTTGGAAACGCACTTGGAATTAAAGAGCAGGATCGACCAGCGACCGTAGGAGGATTTTCTGACGGAACTCGCAGTGAGTTTAATGTCTGAACTCATTGGAGGATGGGACTCTTCGATAGAAAATTGAAAAACTGCTTGAAAAAATCTATCTGCTCAAGAAAATTACATCACATCTGTCACTTCTGTCACCGATTCTCGTTCTCGCTCAAATTTCTCTCTTCAGGGAAAGTCCGAGGAAATAGCATTTGACTTTGGCTGAGCACGCTACTGAGAATCTCATTTAAAGGCATTTGGCACGATGATTTTGTGCTCGGCCTAAAATGCTAGTAGGGCGCTATATAGTGGGGAAATGGCGAAAGAACGGAGTGAAACGGTCAAAATCCTGCGAAGAAAGAGCCTCCGTTCTCAATGTGTTCAAATCAATTTTGGACGAGTTTCCCGTAGGCATCTTGCCAATAACCGCTACCGAAGGTACGGCTGC